CCATGTCTTACTTACGCTGGGGGCCCCAGAGCTGGACGCAGTACTCCAGGTGTGGTCTCACGAGAGCGGAGTAGAGGGGCAGAATCACCTCCCTCGACCTGCTGGCCACACTTCTTTTGATGCAGCCCAGGACGCGGTTGGCTTTGTGGGCTGCGAGCGCACATTGCTGGCTGATACTCAGTTTTTCATCCACCAGTACCCCCAAGTCTTTCTCTGCGGGGCTGCTCTCAATCCGCTTGTCACCCAGCCTGTATCCATGTTTGGGATTGCCCCGACCCAGGTGCAGGACCTTGCACTTGGCCTTGTTGAACTTCATGAGGTTCGCACAGGCCCACCTCTCTAAGCCTGCCAAGGCCCCTCTGGATGGCATCCCTTCCCTCTAGAGTATCAGCCACCCCACTCAGCTTGGTGTCATCCGGAAACTTGCTGAGGACGCACTCAATCCCACTGTCCATGTCCCCGGCAAAGATGTTAAATAATACTGGTCCCAATACGGACCCCTGAGGGACACCACTCGTCACTGGTCTCCACCCGGACATCGAGCTGTTGACCGCAACTCTTTGAGTGCGACCATCTAGCCAATTCCTTGTCCACCGAGTGGTCCACCCATCCAGTCCATGTGTCTCCATTTTAGAGACAAGGATGTTGTGCGGGGCAGTATCAAATGTTTTGCACAATTCCAGGTAGATGATGTCAGTCACTCTTCCCTTATCCACCAGCGCTATAACCCCATCGTAGAAGGCCACTAAGTTTGTCAGGCACGATTTGCCCTTAGAAGCCTTGCCAATCACCTCTCTCTTTTCCATGTGCCTTATCGTAGTTTCCAGGAGGATCTCCTCCATGATCTTGCTAGGCACAGAGGTGAGACTGACTGGCCTGTAGTTCCCCGGGTCTTCCTTTATTCCCTTTTTAAAAATGGATGTTATGTTTCCCCCATGTTATGTTTCCCCATCTTCCTCTCTGACTAGTTCTCACGTTAGTTTCTTCTGGTCATGCTTCTTATTACAGGAAAGAGAATTTATTCTGGACAGTTACACTCTTTCCATGGGGGTCTAACCATGAAGCTTACCTGAGCCCTATAAACATTAGTTTGCTGATAACTTTGGAGTGCTAAATCCTGTGTCTTGCCCTTCCCCTCCCAAAATGCATCGAGTTAATATTGGTATCATGGTTGAAAAGCTTTTTTTTTTTTTTCTATTTAGTAAAATCTAAAATCATAAGGAATTGTTAGCTATGGCACCCCAAAGGTCTAGCAAAGCTTTTTGTTCAAGTGATTTGTCAGTTCTTGAACGAAGTATGGAGGTTATTTGAGTTTTGAGGGCTCTGCTGCTTCCAGGCCTATGATTTTTGTCTACTAAACTGTGCATAGGTCCTTTTCCAGGCCACCTAGCTTTTTGAAGAAGACAGGAGTGTTCAGAAATGCAGCTTTGATTTTGCTAAATGCCTGGGAGCTCTGTGCCACATAGAATATATGTGGCATGTATGAAGGTGAGATGTTTGAGCTAGGGTATGTGGAGTGCTTGGCTGTTGCAAATTCCTGACTGTCTTGAAAACCCTATTCAGAGGCCTTTAATATTCTACACTGCAAATATTTAACTGTCTTTAGAATTGTGTGTAATTTGCAGCTTTTTTGCCTCTAAATAGGAAGGCTGTCTTCTCAAGCTTTGTGGCATTGTTGTTGGAGACAGGGTGTCAGCCAGTATTGTCACTGAGAAGGGGACAAAATTACCAATTTGTTTTTAAAGGTAAGGAAGCACAGGCTTTGTAAAAGGAGGAGAGGAGGCTCTTTCAACTTTGGACTTATCCTGATTTCCAGGGACATAACTGCAGAAGGTGCTTGGTTACTATGATCTAAAGGGCTATTCACACTTGGAAGCTGTTACGGAATAACAGTATTCTGGAGGAAAGTGGCTGCGGAAAGAATTTTCTGTTCCTCTTGGCCTTATTCCAAGATGTTTTCTGGACTAAAGTGGGTAGAGATGGTATTTTTTGTACGGTTGGGATAAAAAGACCAAGACTTTTCATTTCGAGACAGTGTATAGAAAGATCCTGAGCTGTTCATATGGTGGTTTGTAACACTATAGTGCCTTATCCTGGCAGACAGAAAAAAAAGGACAAAAGGGTGGAAGTTTTCTCTTAATCATCAGGACTTTTTTGAGGTGATCGACTTACAGAGTAAAATGTTCCTCCTCTGTTGGTTTACTGTTTGTCTGCTCTGTAACACTAATCCACTTACAATTTGTGCGGCTCTTTTTGAAGTTATTTTAAACCCTCAGCAATGTATACAGATTTTGTAACCTTGGATAAAAGCACCTGAGTCGTGGTTTCAGTTTTGCCCTTTCAGGCATGTGGGAAGTGCCCCAGCACATTTTAAGGATTTTGAACTAGAAACTTCTTAGATATGGGTTATGGTTTCAAAGCTCAATTGATACAGTGTACGTCAAGGGAATTACATCAAGGGAATGGTTCTCTGTTTCTTTAGATATTTAATATAGATTAAAGCTTTGTGTTTACTTAAAGGATCCCGTGGACTCCTTTTGGGTTAATTATGTTGGAATATATGCCCTGGCAATTTTGGAGAGAGCACTCTCTGCTTGACTCCCTTCCCTGTTTTTATGTCTGTGCCGAATAGTTTATCCATCAGATGCTGAGTTTAAGGAGTGGTTCATCTTCCAGGGATAGTACCTGGAGAGGAAATGGCCTCAAGTTGCGGCAGGGGGCATGGTGGTGTTGGGTTGACGGTTGGACTCGGTGATCTTAGAGGTCTTTTCCAACCTCAATGATTCTATGATTCTATGATTCTATACCTGTCCCAAGCTTTTAAAGAGAGTTATTGCACTGCTCATCCATGTAAGACTGTAGACAACTCAGTAGTGTGTAATAGTAACTCATAACAAAAAAAAGAGAAAGGATGAATTAAGAGTTGGGCAGAGGATTCTACTCTGTCTGCCTAGTATTGCGGTGGCCTGTTTTTTTCTCAAAATACAGGTTGGATTGGTGATGAATCTTGAAAAATAATGAGTGGTAGGAAAACCTCTGTATTGTGTCAGATCACCATCACGTTTCCCATATTTTGCAGTAATCATTCAGGTTATTCAGACAGTCAGGGCCCCACAATATAATATAAATAGCTCTCCTTGTATTGAATCACTTGCAAAATAAAGTCAAGGTACAAGACATGGGAGAAAAGGACAAAACGACAAGCTGGTGATGCAGAAGAGATGGCAGGATTAGTGACCATTACGTGGTGCTACTTTGCATGGATTAGTGAGATAGATATATATGTAAATTATTGAGCAGTATAATCTTCTCCTATTATAATCAGCTACCAGAAAACAGAATTGTCATAGGTTGATACCGGTTTGTGGTTTTCTTCAGCTAGTTTGGCAAAGGTGAGATTTAAGGAAAGGCATGAAGATGGATAAAGTACAGACACTTTTGGAAAGAACTTTTTCTGCATATATGTTAAAGCCTGGGCAAGGGTCTGTGAAAAATCTGAGATTTTAGTTGAGAGGAACAAGGAGAACATAGGAAATAGTGTAAGAAGTTAAATGTTTCACACCCTAGCTTATACACAAAGATATTATCCTAATGAAGGACACCAAACTTGGAAAAGACAAAGAAAGTTAATAAAATCGCTGCATAGGAAGCGCCTTGCCATAATAAAGTTAGAGTAACTACGTAGTGTTGGAAAGAGGAAGAGATTGAATATCTGAAATTAAAGCAAATATGTATTCTTGCCTTGTGTAAGAAACACAAATATCTAAAAGGAGACTGAAGTTTCTCACTTCATGATACCTCCCCCTCATTTGGGTTCAGAAAAAACTAGAGACTGTTCCACAGTAGTTAGAAAGTTTCTTGTACCTTACTTTGAACTACATGATAGGTATGTTCCAAAGGATGACAGACAGTTAATATTGTGCAAATATTAAAAAAAAAAAAAAAGTGATAATGCCACTCAAACATTTGTTCTGGATCTTATGACATGTAAAGCTTTTATGAGTCGCTCCGCAAAATTATTTCTGTCAGTTTGCAAGGAAAGGTGGTTTGTGATACAAAATGGAGCTTTGTATTTAATTATTTTATGTCTGAGAAAAGGACTTATAATCACATTTAATTGTGAGCCTTAAATGATTTTTCATAAGCAAGATGACAGTGAGCTCACATAACGTTCCAAGGTTTTGTACTCACAGCATGCTTCAGAAATGTACTGAATTCTTCATATATGCAGCCTTATGTTTCAGTTTTTCTGGTGTACCTTAATAAATAAAAGTGTATTTGTTACAAACTAAGGTATTCAAAAGCAATCTGTATGTTTTTTGAATTCTACTGATTGGCTCAAGGTTTGTTTCTGATTCTATTTCAGATGCATCCACTCGGACTGTGTAATAGCAATGATGAGGAAGACCTGTATGAATATGGCTGGGTAGGAGTGGTGAAACTGGAACAGCCAGAGTTGGAGCCTAAGCCATGCCTCACTGTCTTAGGAAAGGTAAGGGGGTAGTTTGGGGTAAATGCTGCATGTAACTGTTTCTTGGAAGGGTTAGTTCCTTTCTGAGAAAAATCAGCAAGAAATAAAACAAGAGAAAACTCCCTTTACTCCACGAAATACTCTGTTTTGCCTGTTTTCATACGAGATGCTTCAGGGAAAGATAATGTCGTAATTCAGTTGGTAGAGATGGTGATGGGGAGCTGAGTGCACACATTCCCTTTTTGAGCTCTGTAGGAACCTAACAAAGACTTCTGCAAAAATGGCTGTTTAGCAGAATCAGTATTGGAGTAGAAATAGGGTGAACTGCAAGTGTGATGCTAACTTGATCAAAGGAAGCTTCTTATCAAAAGTAGTCAAAATGAAAGCATTTTACTGGTTTTCCTTAGGTACAATTTCCTCAGAAGACATACATTAATTTCCTTTTTTGGGGGAAGAGGAGTCTTCAACCCTGGAAGAGATTTCTTTGCTTTAATTGCAGGATAGATATCTCTAGTAACAAGTGAATTTTACTGTACTGGTCAAAGAAATAAAAATTTTCATCTTGCTGGAATTTCCCTGTGGAATACAGCCTCTGGAATCTAAATTCCTTGCAAAACATTTCCCTTTGTTTTGTGGGGTGAAGTCAGTAAGATATCATTACTGCTGCCAGATATGTTAAAAAGGAAAGCCTTTTTTTTGTTCTCAGCTTAGAATTTTTGAGGATTGAGGTTATTATATGTTGACATTTGAAGTCTAGAGTAGTTGGAAGTGTGTGAAAGAGCATAGGCCACAAGTTCTACCAGTAACTGAGTAGTTGAAAATGCATAAAATCTGAGGGGTTCATCCTAAAATCCAGCTGGCTCAAGTGTCTGAGACTTTGGTAGGATAGTGTTGGTGACTTCAGGTGAGCAGGGAAAATGTAGTATATCGGGCATAAAATAAAATCCTAGTTTGACATTTTGTAGGTAAAACTTGTCTCTGTATATTTATAAACAAAACTTCTAAAAACCCCATATTTCAAAGGAAATGGGAAATGGTCTGCTTGTCTAAAATTTGCTGCAGGTTTAGCTTGTGGTACATGGGTGAGAAACATCTCTCTAAGAAGTGGCTGCCCTTTCTATTGAATTTCAGCATAATACTTTTTTTTTTTCTAACTTGGAGTACTGTTTTTGTTTCACAGAAATTCCAGCTGATGCTTCTTTGCTCTTAGGAGGATAAGGTCTCATGAGGATGGGAATTAGAGAAGATTGGGTACTGAAAGATGCATAGTAATCCATAAGTAAACTCCAGGAGTAAGTTGAGTCTTGGGGAACGCCATTTAAGGAAGGAATCTGTTCAGTCCCATCTGTCAGGCTCTTGAAAAGCATGTGAGGAAGTAGGTGTGTGAAATGGATGAAGAAAGTGGAAACCATAGATACCCTGCACAAACAATGTTATAAATATTTTCTGACATAGTGACATTGCTTGCCTGACCCACTGCTGTGTACCCAAATGCCGCCATGTCCTCTATACTCCCCATGTCCCTGAAGCCTCATCGATCTCTAGAATGAGTACACTTCAGTCTCTGCTGATCCTAGCTTCCTGAAGCTTGGCCTGCTGAACAGCAGACCCTGGCTTTGCTTCAGGAGCTCTGTAGCATCTACTCTGATGCATAATGACGGTGCTGTGACTCCTGCATCCTGCATAGGGTATGCCCAGAGAGTTTGGGCACAGTGTTTCCTGTGTGTCAGTTTATGTGCAGTAATTTTAACCGGTGAAAAAAGACTGGCCACGGTTCTAGGCAATACTTGCTTCTCAGTAAATGTAACGCAGCTCCTCGTTCTGTGTTTTCATGTCGCCATTTATCCTTCTCTTCCTGAAATATTTCTTCCCTGTTTCATGCTTGCTGTTGTAGTTTCTCCTCTCCATCTTTTCTCTGCAACCATTCTGCTCAGTCCTCCCTATGCTCAAGTTATGTCCTGATTTAGAAGGACTTCTCAGAATTCTTGAAATATTGCTGAGTGCAGATAGCAGCAGGAGCATCAGCCATGAGTTTCTTGCAGGTCTGTCAATTAAGTCAGCCTGGTTATCTTACCAGTGCGAACAAATTGCATTGCGATTGTCTGGGTCTCTGAAAAGTTCAGTTTCCATGCAATTTGGTGCAAATGGCTACACGAGTGTTCAGTTTGGCCTGTAAACTGTTTTGCCTGGGTAAGTATCAAACCTGCTGCATGTGTATATGTGTCGTCTTCTGGTTGGTTTTAGGATTTGGCAGCTGTTTGACTTAAAATAAAACATGAAAGGGAAAGAGAAAGGGAAAGGGAGGGAGAGGAGAGGAGAGGAGAGGACAAGGGAGGGGAGAGGAGGAGGGAGGGGAGGGGAGAGGACGAGGGAGGGAGGGAGGGGAGGGCAGAGGAGAGGAAAAATGGAATGAAAAGGAAAAAGAAAAGGCAAGGCAAGGAAAGGGGAAAGGAAAAGAGAAAGGAAAGGAAAAAGGAAAGGAAAAGAAAAAGGAAAAGAAAATAAAATGGGGGAGGGGTGGCCTTGAACAGGGACGGGAAATGGAACTTCTTCCATTTAGAAAAGGAGGAAGAAATCAAGGAGTGCAAGCCTACTGTTTGTTCCTCATTTAGTTTGATTTATCCTGCCCCCAAGGTGGCTTGTCCTGCACTATTTGATCAAATAGCGTGTTTGCCTTTCCGTAGAGTTGTGGTAAGCTCTTGCTTTTCCAAAATTCTGTAAAGTAGGCCTGCCCAACTGCAACATCTATTGCAGAGATAATGTGGATGTTACAAGATGCAGGGCTGGTGCAACACTTCAGAAACATACTGGCCTCTTGGACATATGAAATGTTGCATGTCAGCTTTACTGGTGTTGCTGATATCCAGATATTATGCAAGTGAGATAAATGGTGAAGCAACCCCTTGTTACACACACATCTGCATGAATGACTCAGGTGGGTAACAGTAAGACTTCACTGAATGCGAATATTCTTACCTCCTTAAAAGATGTAGTAGAGTGCATAAAATTGAGTATATAGGGCATTTGCACTTCTAGACCACAGGAGTTCTGCTTTGTCTAGTGAAGTCTGACTGTGTGATCAATTATACCTCCTGCTGGAAGCAGATACATCTTCCCTTTTCAGTTCCCGTTTATTCCCTAATGCTGGAATTGCCATTGGGATCTTCTAGTATCTATTCTGAGATTTTAATTCCATTAGAAGCCATTCTGTGAAATGAAAGCCAAATCTTGTATGTTGGGAAAGTGATGTGGTTGGATCAATTTGACCTATTGATTTGATAGTAGGAATAAAGTTGGTGCCAGGAAAGTGAGAGAAGTTAAGGACTTGCTTTCTTTCAAAACTGTCATGGGCATAATTGAAAGTCTGCCTCAACAATTTAGGGGGAAATAAAAAGCCTCTGCCAGGGCAGTTGTCTGTGTATGCACTTCCCTTTCCAGCCTATGGCACGTGTGGGCAATTCTGTTTCATTTGGACACTTTTCACTGAGAAAGCTAGTTTGGATATCCTCGTCTATGCTATGAACTAAGAGGATGCACATGGAGAGTTATCCTGGCTCAGCTGACAATTACTTTGTCCATCTTTCTTATGTACATAAGGAATGGATAACCTTGTCAGCTTCAGCCTATCATAAACGAATGTGTTTAAAAGCTCAGACTAACTCAAACCACAAAAGGATTTGTAAGTCCTCTTTTAAGGGAGCCAATTTAAACTCGTTTCACTAGAACTGGTGAACATTTGTGTTGAGTAATAATAGTAGTAGAAGCAGAAAGGTTATTGCTTGTGTCTGTATGGTGGAATGCATGCATATAAGAAGGAATAAATTATGAGGTTTTGTTTAGTTTAATAGTAAAGGAAAAGAAAGAAAATAGAGATGATATTGTGGAAAGCTCGGAATATTGCGAAGTAGAATGTAGAGACTACTTAAAAGCTGTTCGTAGAGCTAAATTCCATGACACACAAATCTGGTACAAAGATGTATGGTTTTATTCTTATTGTTGTTTTTAGTTGTTGTGGTCTTTTTTGATTTGGGGTGTTTTGGGGTTTGGGGTTTTTGTTTTGGTTTGGTTTGGGTTTTTTTGTTTTGTTTTTAGTAAAACCCTGCTCTGTGTTTTCAGAAGCTTCACTCCACTTGTTTATCCATGTGCTAAATGGGATTGGTAGCTGTACAGAACTTAATGTGTCCATTTCCATATAGATTTTTTAATTGCTCATCCTTCTTAGTCAGATTTATATGGTGTAATGGAAATGAAAGAGTTTAAAAAAATGTATCTCCTGTTAGAGTGCCCGTGAAAACTGGACCCTGATTGGGAAAGGGGTCTGTGTGGCAGCTGTGATTTAACATTGCCTTTGATCACAGTGCAGCCCTGTTTGAGGCAATGCTGCATGCAGGCAAAGCAAAGGCCTGGGTTTTACTGATCTCATGAGCTCCTGAATAGGGCTAGAAGGGGAATGACAGAGGAAGAAGAAAGCTTTGGAAATGAAAAGGAAACCCCGTGAACCCGACCAGCATTATTGGCTGGATTTGCCTACCAGGGAGCCGCTCAGTTTCTGCCAGGCTAATTCTGCTCCAACTTCTCTCCCCCACACCCCCGACCCCACCTCCCCCTCTCTCTTTCCTTCTTTCAGACTTTTTTTGTTTTTGAGGCATGGCTGTAGTAACTTGGTTCTCAGGCTGGGAACCCACTGAGCTGTTGCCATGGTCACTGGGAAGCTCTTCGTGCCATGTGCTTCAAAGGGAACCTTTCCCCTCCTGGAATTCCTGCCTTCTCTGCGTACAGCACAATGAGACTCCTTCGCCTGCCAGCGCACGTGCTCCAGCAGCGTAACTTTGCTCTGGAGGAAGGGAAGAGCAGTGCTGCCTGCAACACCTGTTGCATGCCTGCATCCACTGTATTGTGATGGCAGTACCTGCACGTGTCCTGCACATTCCAATATGCAGCCCCCTGTTCTTCCCCTGCGCCAGTCATTTTTGAAGCAAATGACATCTGTCAAGACAGTGAAATACAACCCAGCAATGCCA